AGATAGTGACGAAATAATGAAACAAACGCAATTTATAATTTAATGTAATCTACCAACCAAGTGGGGCCTCCACCCACTTCTTCGCCACGTCACCTAACTCACTAATCTGTGTCTTCATCTCATTTTATATTTTTTAACTTTTATATCTAAAATTACAATAGACCCCCCAATGTTTATTGATATTCTTTTTAGTCCTGGTTCCAAGACAGGTTCCATTCCGGGCACTCGAAGCGGTTCCCATTATAGTTTTCGGGTCCAGTTCCAAAAAATTAGAACCAGAACCTACCGAACAGTGTCAATTCCACGTAGGTTTCGGTTTCGGTTTCAGTTTCGATTCTACACGTCGGTTCCAGTTCTAACTGCTACCATATTCACCCCTAGTTTGAAACTAGAAAGTCAGTGAAGGGAGCAAACATTCTTGATTACCAGGCTAACCTCTTGGGGATAAAATAAGGGTTACATAACATCAAATCTTATGAAAATGTGTTTGGTAGAAATAAGTCGAATTGTTTTTTTTTTAAACAATTTTTGTATACGATCCTTAAAAAGTTTAAATTAGAAGATGATTAAAAGTTGACTTCCTAGTTTTCTATAGTTTTCAAATATTATATCGAACACATTTTTAAATAGTAAAAATACTAAGGATTTGTTGGATTGAGGGATTTTAAAATCCATGGTTTTTGTACAATCCATGGATTCAAAATCCATGTATTTAATAAATTCTATTGTTTGGTTTAAATATAAAATATCCATGGATTGTTGATTCAAATTTCCATGCACTCATGTTTGGTTAAGTGAATACAATCCATAAATTAGATAAATAATTTCCAACTTTACCCTCAATATCCAAAACCAACAAAAATTCAATTTTCATTTAATTAAATACAAGTTAAATTATATTTGATAGAGAAGTCCAATTATAATAAATGATTTTTTGTGATTTGGTAAAAAAAAAAAAAAAAAAATTATAGGTTAATATAATATGGTATCAACTATCTTAATTTATGATAACTTCAATAGTTGAACAATTTCATATTAAAACATATAACATGACCATACATAAATACAAAATTAGTGTCAATATAATGGACTAATAACATCTCCAAAAACATATGAAACTTTTCATCATAGCATATTAGAGTTTGTCCCCAATCTATATATGTGGGACCCCTTACTTTGCAAAATGACACACACACACACACACACACACACACACACACACACATATATATATAAACTTTTTGCAAATAAAAAATAATTAATTAAATGAACGGAAACTCACTGGTAGATTATTTCTTTAGTATGCTTTGAAGATGCTGATGATGTAAAAGTGAAGAGCGCAAAAAGAGTGAACGATAAATATATTTCTTTTAATATAGGGTAAAGGATAATTACTGGGGATATTAGATTATTAAAAGGGTAGTATTGGAAAATTAAAATATTATCAAAATCCCCCATTTTATTAAAACTGATGGATTTGGCAAAATCCCATCTACCAGGTGGGATTTAAAAAAAAAAAAATAAAGGATTTTGGAGGGTGGTGGATTTTCCAAAACCCATGGTTTTCAACATTTTTTTTTTTTTTTTTGTTTAAAACCAAATGAAGTATTTTACCAAATCCATGGATTTAACGAAATTATTAATTTAGAATCCCTCAATCCAGACGAGACCTAAGATATAACTCAAAATTTTGAATCATATTTTAGTTTTTGAAGATAATTTTTGAATCACAAATCAAATTGACATAAAAATTCATCCAAACCAATATTTCACATTTAAAGTGAGTTCACGACTTTTTTCCACTCAAATAATGACTTAATGACATTTTCCCACCCACGGACTTTTAAAATACCATTTTACTACCCAAATTTATATTCTGGCAGTGAACAAAGATCAAACTCGATTCATGCTGATGAGGCTTTTGAAGAGGGGAGGCCGATGAGTCCTTTGGTGGTGAAATGTTGGATTTTTGTGCTTGGGATTGATTAGAACTTGACTTGGGAGGGGCAACTATACAAACCCTAATCGCTTGATTGTTGGTGATTAGCAAGGTTAGTGAAAGTAGGGTTTGAGGAGTTCTGGTGAGTGATGATCAGGGAAGAAAATGGTGGTCGTTTGGGCTCGCAACGATACCGGAATCAGAAACAGAATATAAATTTAGATAATAGAGTGGTATTTTAAAAGTCTGTGGGTGAGAAAGTGTTATTAAGCTATTAGTTGGGAGGGAACAAGTCGTTTACTCATTTAAAGTTTGTATTAATGGGCCAATATTTTGTCTAACAATGGGGAATATGTATGGATTAGAAAATCTATAATTTCTTCATTCTTTTTAAATATATTATTTATTATAATTATATTAAAAAGGAATTGTTTTTGAAAAGATTATATTTTCTTAATTATGGGTCAACGTTCCTGTAAACAGTTTTGATGGGTATAAATTTGGAAAATAATTATAAACCATTTCAGAATTCACTATTGTTGATGCGGTTTTTCGCACCAACGAGATGTACGCAAGCCTTCAAAAAGTTTGCATAAAGGGTCTATGATAGACCGTGAAATAGCAAGTGTGATGTTGAACTCGTGGGTTCAATGAGGTTTATAAGTAGACTCAATGAAATGCTAAACAGTAAATGCGTAAAAATAAATAGATAAGAGCAACTTTTAAAGTGGTTTAGATACACGGAACAATTCATACGTCTACTGTTATTTTATTGATGTGTTTACAAGGAGAATTTGCTCTAGATAAACTATTGTTGTAATGCTCTTATGGTTAAAGAGATTTTGTATATCCCTAGTTTGACGTGAGAACCCTCTATTTATAGTATTCTGAGAGTGATCTTAGATGCGAAGTAACCTTCATGCATCTCAACCTATGGCCAAAATGAGGTGTGAAATAACGTTCATGCATCGCAACACATGGCCAGAATGACATCATAGCTTGAAATCTTATTGGTGAAGTAATCTTTTGGAAGTTTACACATGAAGAGATGACAACCATGGGTGTGTTTGTTTTATTATTTTTGATAGGATTTTAGGAATAATATTAATTGGGTAGTTGGATAGGGGAGTATTACTGGGTAAAATTTAAAAATTTATAAAAAAACCCACCTAGGTTTTCTAATTTACTAAACACCCCAATATATAAAAATATTGTAAAATGACAAAAACACCCCCACTACCTGCAGTGCTAGATTCTGGCCACCGCTGTTGGAATTTGGCCAAAAAATTGCGTAACAACACATACTGGCCAGATCTGGTGGGTATAGCGTCGATATGGCCTTTTTCGGCCAGATCTACGGTCAGATGTGGTTGTCGACAACTAGAAAAGGCCAAAGAAGTCCATCTTTGAGATATGACCGTCATTGTCGGTCAACGATAGCCAAGATTTGGCCGTCATTGACCATTAACGACGGCCATTTCTTTGGCCATCATTGATGTGGATTTGGCCGGAAAATGACAGATCGGTGAATTACCGGCCAATTCCGATCGGTAATTCAATGTTGTGGCAGATTCCGACTACCACCGATGGTGGTTGTCGAAATCTGACAAGTATGGGTCGATGGGAGTGTTTTTGTTAATTTTTAAACTTTTTTTCTGGAGGTATTTAATAAAATTAATAAACGCACCCCATAACATTTTGATAATCCTTTTCAAAAAATATTAAAAATCCTTTGCTAGAGAGATGACAGAAAAAAAGTTCAATTCAATCTTTATAACCATAGGCTAAAGAATTATTTTCTTTTCAAAATAATTATCCATTAATAAATCACTTGAATATATGATCGAAGATAGTGAGATAAAACTTGTAACTACAGGAGCTATTATGCTGTAATGAAATTCAAAGTTGGGTCGCAAATATTTATAAGTTAAATATATATTTTTTTAAATTAAAAAGTTTCTATGTAATTATTATGTCCAATCTTCAAAATCTGAATGAAATTTTTTTTTCCACGAATCCATGACCCACCAACATCTGGGAAAGGAAAAGCAGATCATTTCAATATTTAATGGTCCACTTTCCCAAAAGTGACTTAACAACTTCTTGAAGAAGTTTGAAGGATCGCGACATCTTTCTTTTTGATATGTATATATATAATATAGTTACGTGGGGATATCAGACTGAAGCAAACAAGACTGCCAAGCCTTTGAAATCCCTTGTAAGTGAGACGAATTCTTAATTTCTTACGTTGACTAGTTCAAGCGACTGTTTATTTCTATTAGGGTCGTAATGGTTGCAAGCCATTATGTTTATTGGTTGGATATATAATTGTTAGTACAAGTTAGAGAAACATTTCTTGAGTTTTTTTTTTTTTTTTTTTTTTTTTGTTATCATTATTTTCAGAGGTTTTGGTTATTCAATATTTTGTTGGTTTTGCAAAAATTGATTGTTAATTGGCAGAGTGGTTTATCGTAAAGTTCCGTTGTTAATGATTCATTCTAACAGGGTTTAGACTGTTGCTTTATCTTTATGGCTTATATTCCACCACACAGCGACACTCAAAGGATTCAAACCGTCCAACTCCAACTCCAACTCCAATTCCAGAGCTGCTTGCTCCACAATTCAAGAGAGATTTGAACTTGAGATCATCTCAGCATGATGTAGACAGTGTTTGAATATTATCAATCCAACCCATGTGTATACAAATGGTTCATTGTTGGTTTGGATGATAATGACCAATTTCCTTCATTTGTCCACCTTGAGCGGATTTCAGAACCCATTGAGCGGACTCTAGAGAAAAGTCCCTAGTTTTAGTGAACGATCATGTAGATAAAGTGTGTTATGCACTGTTTAGAATTATCTTAATGTATTATATTTTTTTGTTTGAATTTATTCTAGTGTTTAAGTAGTAGTATTGATCGTTTTCTTTCTTGGTCGTAGGTAATGATGAAGTGGAGGAATATATCAAGACGACCTGGGAATTTGTTGCTAAAAATGCATGGCCAGATATATTGACTTGTTTTAACAATCTGAGGACCAGAATGGATTGCAAAGACTGGAGAAAGTAAAGCCAATATTGGTCGCTAGATTTGGCAAAATTCGTTTTTGTGGTAAAGTATGTTTTGCTTTATCGGCTTGGAGTTTTAATAATACCTCCTTGATTTCTTTCTTATCAATGTTACATAAGCCAAAATGATTGAAATCTTATAGAATCTTATGGTCAATTAAGAATTACTAGTTAAATAAAGGGAAATTATGAGGTTTCCCCTTCCTTTCCCAGTGAAGGGATAAGAGTGAATTAAATCTCTGAATCGAAACTCGGGCTAATATTTCTTAAAAAGCCAAAGTAAAGAAAATTAAAACAATGATTATCACACATGCTATCTCTTGGCCTTGAATTGGCTGCCTTTTTTTGTATGATTTACTATTTCACTCAAACCCTTCCTTTGACTTCCATTATCCTTTGTTAAGACGGAAACACTTTGCAAAAGCATTATCTACTAATAGTTATGTCATGTTTGCAGCTCAATTAGTTTGTAATGTAAACAAACATATGTAAGTACTAATAGTTGGTGACCAAAAAAAAAAATTGGCTAAAGCCGCCATTATAACATTAATCTTTGTGATGCAGGTGCTATCCTGTGAACATAGAAAAGGTCGAAAAATATCCAGTCACTGAAACCACTTTGGAACCATTGAGGAGAAGATTTTATACAAATGTTCCTACGTCTTATATGGACAACATTATAAGTGGAGTTGTTCCAAAAATTGGATTTGATTTTGAGACAGATAAGGATGTATACCAGATCACGGTAATTGTTCTTCTAAACACCTGTCTATTAAAATCATGTTAATTGTACTTCAGATAATATAGCTATTGACTTCAATTTCATTGTCTAGGTGACTGACAGCATGCGACCATTCTCAATCGTTAGTTGCAAATGCAGAGTGAAAGAAGATAAATCGCTTGACCTCTATAAGGCAAGTTTTCTGTTATATGTGTAAATAGGATGATGGAGGTCGATACTTCAATTTGATAATCATGATTCTTAAACATTCAGAGTTAGTTGCTTTAGAAAAGTCAATGAAACAAGGCTTTTGCTAAAGTTAATTATACCAGGAATTGTAGAGGTAAACAAAGCTGTCAACGGCACCTATATCTATGTTTTTGAATAAAAAGAAAATGGATTGAACTGAGTTTGTGAGATGAATTTTGATGTAAAAAGTGATGGAACTACTATAATATAAGCAAGAAAAGTTGAAGAAACAGGATAAGGATAGAATCTGATTAAGACCATTTTAGAAGTCTTCCCAGAAACATTTAAATGGAATTCACCATTAAAAGAAGAAGAAAAAAGAAATAGTTTTCAACTCTTTTGAATTGTTTGTAAAGGACTTGCTTATACAAGATTAAGAAGTCCTGATATAAACCAAACAAATAACCCTTAGATAAGTATCTAATAAACCCAAGTATATATATAGTTACTGGTGTACTGATCCTGAGTGTTAAATTGCAAAAACATTGCTGATTATGAACCAACTTGAATATGCCCTTCTCGAAGAGTGCCTTTTGTTTCAGGGGATTTGGATCTGGGTAATATATCAGGGACATAAAGAAATATTAAGTACCTCATTGGATTCATTTGTTTATTTATATTTTGAATTGCCAGGATTTTATATTCACTTTAAATTTATCTTTATTTTGTATGTAAAGCCTCATGCTCAATTGGAGATATTTTTCTTGTAGGTTGAAATAAACCATACTCGTCGAATGGCCATAGACACATCATGCGTGGATAAGAATTTAGACCTGAGGCTGACGCTATGGACCAAGAGTATTGGCAATGACTTTACTGTAAGTTAATGTGCAACCCTACCCATTAGATGCTTTAGGTAGAATAATATAGCATAACTTTGTTTCTATTTTCTGTCTTTCTTTTAATCATGTTAATTTTATCTTTGTTGTTACTAATCATAGTATTTATTCATTTCAAACAAAGAAAAAAACAACTTTAAAGCAGTAGAAGGAAATCTTCATTCTATAACTTGATTTTATCTGGACAAAGTCTATTTTCTAAGGGATGAAGAAAGAAGAAATACAAGACAAAGCTCAAAGAGTTAAACATACAGTTAAATATATAATAACTTTTTACTGAGGATTAGAATCTATGAGAGTTTTCTCTCCAGACAGCATGAACGTTAACAAGTGACTGAAGTAAAAAAACAACATCATCAGAATCAAAATTTTAATTGCCAAGTTGTAGACTTAAAAAATTGTAATGCTTTTGCTTTGCACAATATATTTGATTTTTTTTTTTTTTTTTGTGGGAGTTTGTTTTTTGAGAGAAGTAATTATCTAAAGAGCAATGCTATAGTTACCTAAGAATGCGTATCAAATTTATGCACCGAATGATGTGGTACCATCCTGTTTTCTTAAAAAAAGAAATTTATAATTAATCGACAGTAAGGATGACGTCACGTTATTCGGTGCATGAATTCGGTGCGTATTCTTCGGTTACTGTATTATTTTTCTTATGTATAACCAAAAAGAACAGTGGTTTAACATGCATCTATCGAATGTTTTAGTTTATAGCTGTTTCAGTTATCCTTGAGAATGATATCTATAATCAAACTGATTATATGCGTTCTTCTAGGATGAAGAAATTCAGAGCCTTAGAAACCTGATTAGTTCAGCTATTTTAGATCCTGGAGTGAAGGGTGGTTTGAGATGGCCTCTACGGAAGTCAAACTCGGGGGATCAGTACTGTGTTACTGGGGTTTGGCACCTAGAAGTTAAGTTGTATGAAACCTCATCACTGAGGCTCAAGGTAAGACATGCTGATCGGTTTAGATTTGAGTCTTCTACTGGGGAGTCTTCAATTGAGATTATTCTGAAGTTCAAGCGATTAGCTTCAGACATACTGGTAATTGTTATTTATTGCATTCGACTTGTTCACTTGACCTTCTCTTTTTGAAATTATTGCCATTCAGAAATTTATCATTGAAGTGATTGTTTTCCAAATATTGTTTCTAATTTCACCGTTGAGTTGTAAAACAATTTCACTATAAAAAATTTAAACGAAATGCAAAATTTTTCCAAAAGTTTTATGAACAATTTCAACATAGAAGATCATAATGAAAATATTTTGAGTTTTAGCTGTGTTTAAGTTTAATGATTTTTTTGCAATGAATCATATGAAGTAAGCAATTGCTTCTGTATTTTTTTTTTTTTTTTCATATTTCTGCACTTATTATTATCTTATTTTCTCAGAACACGGAAGATCTTACATGGGTTTATTGTTTCTTTTTTCACAATTTTCAGGAACAGAAGGTGGATGCTGATACTATGTATAATATGTTTAAGGACACCTTAGGGTTGATATGGGATCATTTTCTGTGTTGTGAGCACTTGTTGACACAAGCAACTCATGCCAAGCTTTACCTACTGTGAAAAATGTTAATGCGTTAATGTCAGTGATGGGAATAGCCCATGCCCGTCTCCAATGGTGGAGCATTTCCTGTAAATATTTGTTACAAAATATTTTTAATGCTTCTTTCTTTCTTTCTTTTTTAATCCTTAGCTTAATATTGTACAAGTTTGGCGTTTCAACAATGGTGTGCTTGGTAAATCATTCACAGATTATGTATAATTGTGCTAAAGACACATGCTAAGGAAAATTGGTGTTGCGGATGTTGGAAATCTTTAAAACAAAGAAAAATATGACTGCACCAGTTGCATAAAAAAATATAGCCTTCTTTTTCTCTGCAAAATCTGGAGTTGAAAGGTCTCTCTTAGTTCCCCGTTAACTAATTAAGTTGACTGTTTACTTTGAAGAAGTTGGTCAAAAATATTCAGGAAAGATCTTATTTGTTTTAAATTAATAAGGTTTTATGTTATTATTATGTACAATCTAATGAATTTTTTTTTTCCACAAATCCATGACCCACTAAGAACAGCGAAAGGGAAAAGCAAAAGGCCATTTCATTCTTTAATGGTTCACTTTCCCAGAAGTAACTGAAACACCCTCTCGAAGAAGTTTGCAGGATAGTACAACCATGTAATAGTGGATATTACAATACAAGTTTTATGATTTCCATTTACAAGTTTCACATTGATGTATTGTTACAACGTTATACTATAACAAAACCCATTTATATAATTTTGTAAAGCGCTATATCTAAAAGTTGATACAAAGATAAAGTGCAGTTTTTCTTGATAATTGTTTATCTTTATCTAATGTTTGGGATTAATTTTATTCACCCCTGAGAGATAGCTAAATCCCAAGTGCCCCAACAATTTTGAAATGTATTAGATACCTCCCTAAAATTGTCGAAAGCCTCGTAAAAATATCACAAAACTCTTGTGAACATATCAAAAAACCTCATGCCAATATATATATATAAGTCAAATCTCTTTATAGTCATAATGATGGCATTAAATTAATTTATTACTATAAAAATGTAATAACTTAATAGAGGTATAGTTACAAAAATTACTATTTTGATTTTTTATTTTATAATTCACATTTTAGTAGTATGTGTTAGGATTTCAATTCATTGTTTTAATAGTCATTATTGTAATTAAACAAAAAGAGACATAAAATAATTATGAGGATAATAGTAACGAAAATACAAAAAGTTTTATGCCAAAAAACTTTAAATATACTAGAAAAGCTAGAAATATTTTGGTTTCAACATTTTTTTTTTTTTTTTTTTTTTGTGTTTAAAACCCAACGAAGTATTTTACCAAATCCATGGATTTAATAAAACTATTCATTTAGAATCCCTCAATCCAAAAGAGGCCTAAGATCTAACTCAAAATTTTGAATCATATTTTAGTTTTTGAAAATGATTTTTGAATCAAAAATCAAACTGACATAAAAATTCATCCAAACCTATATTTCACATTTAAAGTGAGTTAACGACTTTTTCCCGTCCAAATAATGACTTAATGACACTTTCCCACTCACCGACTTTTAAAATACTATTTTATTACCCAAATTTATATTATGGCAGTGAACAGAGATCAAACTCGATCCAAGCCGATGAGGCTTTTGAAGAGAGGAGGCCGATGAGGCTTTTGGTAGTGGAAGGTTGGATTTTGGTGGTTGGGATTGATCAAAACTTGACTTGAGAGGGGACAACTATGCAAACCCTAATCACTTGATTGTTGGAGATTGGCAGGGTTAGCGAGACAGGGTTTGAGGGGTTTTGGTGAGTGATGATTGGGGAAGAAAATGGTGGTTGTTTGGGCTCACAATGATGTCAGAATTAGAAATATAATATAAATTTGGATAGTAAAGAGGTATTTTAAAAATTGGTGAGTGAGAAAGTGTCATTAAACCATTATTTAAGTGGGAAAAAGTCGTTTACTCATTTAAAGTTTTTATTAATGGGCCAATATTTTGTCCAACAATGGGGAATATGTATGGATTAGAAAATCTGTAATTTCTTCATTCTTTTTTAAATATATTATTTATTATAATTATATTAAAAGGAATTGTTTTTGAAAAGATTTTTGGGTCAACGTTCTTGTAAACAGTTTTTATGGGTATAAATTTGGAAAAATAATTATAAACCATTTCAGAATTCACCATTGTTGATGTGGTTTTTCTCACCACCGAGATATACGCAAGCCTTCGGAAAGTTTGCACAAAGGGTCTATGATAGATCGTGAAATACAAGTATGATGTTGAACCTGTGGGTTCAATGAAGTTTATAAGTACAGTAAATGAAATGCTAAACAGTAAATGTGTAAAAATAAATAGAAAATAGACAAGAATAATTTTTAAGTGGTTCAGATACACGGAGCAATTCCTACGTCTACTGTTATTTTATTGATGTGTTTACAAAGAGAATTTGTTCTAGAGAGACTATTGTTGTAATGCTCTTATAGTTAAAGAGATTTTGTATATCTTTGGTTTGAGGTGAGAACCCCTTATTTATATTATTCTGAGGGTAATCTAGGTGTGTGTTAGGATTAGTGTATAAACTGGCAAAATTGTAATTTCTGTCACTTACACGTGCACCACTGTAAATGGCAAGTGCTAAATTCTGTTACTTACACGTGTATTGTTTGTAAATATAAAAGAGTTTGTAAAACTCTGAATTTTTTAATCAATAGAAAAGATTCAACAGTAAACACTTTTCTTCCTCTCAAATTCGGATTCTCAACTTGGTATCAGAGCCACTGACTAACGTCAATGGCCGATTTTTCTTCAAATCTTTCCACACACCAAATCTGATAAGATTCAACTCAATCTGGACAAAAGCATAGTTCTGATTTCAGCAATCACACTTGCTCAACTACAATAACCTCAAACCACTCCCTGTAATCAACCCTAAACTCACAGAATAATCATAGATTCTGGAAATCGCAAGTACTGTTTGCCGTAGGAGCTCATGATCTTGAGGATATCTCACCGGAATGATTGCTTGTCCAGCGCCGTTCGTTCGAGTTAATCAGATGGATTAACTTCTGAAGTTGTTAAAAACCTAATCCGGAATACCACCTGGAAGAAGACAGACAAGCTCCTCGTCAGCTGGCTGTTGTCGTCCATTTCAGAGTCAATTTTTTCGGTAATCTCTAAATGTCATTGTCAACTGAGATTTGGCTTACTTTAGAAAAGGAATTTCTTACTGAGTCACGAGCTAAACACTACATTTAAGAACTTACTGCAAAATACAAAGAAATATGACCTTAGTATGCATGACACTTTCTTAAAATGAAGGATTTGCTGAGAGTTTATCCTCAAGTGGAATTATGATTATGATGAAGAATTGTTAAATTTCATTTTCATTGATGGTCTTGATTCTGACTATGACGCAGCTGTTGTGAACATTACTATAGATTAGAGTCTAGATTAGATCCTATTCATGTTCAGGAAGCTCAAATAATTCTGCAGAAACTGGAGCTTAGGTTAGAAAAGGCAAATAATGCACTGACCTCAGCTATGCAATCTGAGTTTCACGGGATCTCTGCTAATGTTGCAAATTTAAGTGTTGATAGTAACAGAAACAAGTCATCATTGGATGCAAATGGAACCTTTCTAAGAGCAAGTTCCCAGTCTTCCTCACACACACATCCATTATCTTTACAACAACACACATAACCCAGTACCACCTCATTTTACTGCAAATCAGTCTGCACATCAAACTTATCCTGCGTACTACACTCCTCAATCAGAATTATCTTTATCCATCTGGTCATGTTACTGGAGGAAGAGGCCGAGGTAGAATAGGTGGTAGAAACAGATTTGTTTGTCAAGTCTGTGGGAAGACGGGCCATCTAGCTCTGCATTGTTACCACAGATTTGATGTGACTTACTGGTAACAATGCAACGGTCAGGAACAATACAAGCCCTACTTTTGCTTCTCAAATTTTGGAAGAAATGTTGAGCCTACAGGATCACCTGTTTTTCTACTGGAAGACCATCCTTTTATCCACACTCAGGACTGTCATCAAGGTTCCAATTTGGATCTCTGAATCCCTAACTGGTACCATATGCATTCAGGATCCTCAGTTCAGTCTTCAAAGGAGTACAACACAAATTGTCCTTGATTTTACCCCCCCAACACATCAATCCTCTGGATCTGGACCTGCCACACAAACAGTCAAGTGTTTATGGCTCAATCTCAGACTCATACTCAGAACCAATCCCTGCAGCAATCAATTATGTTGCTACACCCTCAGCTGTTCAGGATGCAGCAGGTACATGACTCTGGAGCAACAGACCATGTCACTTCTGATTTTGGGCAGCTAACAACAAGCACTAGCTACACTGGCAGTGAACAGCTCCAAGTGGGAAATGGTGATCTTTCATTTCATATTGGTTCTCTTGGTTATCTGTTCTAGTGGAAATTGCATCTTAGAAATGTACTTATGTCCCTACAATTACAAAAAAACTCCTTAGCATATCTAATTTACTAAAGATAATGAATGTTTGTTGAATTTATTCTGATTACTGTGTGGTTAAGGACAAGACTTCCAGAGCCATTCTTCTTCAAGGGTTACTAGGATGGTCTATATCAACTTCAGCCCTCATCCCTACTTCCTTCAAATCTGCTGAAGACCTTGGCAGCTTCAGCTCATCATCAGCTTCATAATAATAATTCAGTGCCTTCTTTCAGCACTTGTACTGTCCCTTTAGCATCTACAATACTTCTAAGAGTCTATCAGGTTGTGCCTTTCTGCTGGCAACCCTGTCGTCTTGTAATAAGCCTTCTGTTGTAGCATCTAATTCTGTTCAAACTACAGAATATAACTCTGAAAATGTATCCTTTTGTGTTGCTTCTGATAGAAATAACAATGCATGGTATACAATTATTTCCTGCTCAAAGAACTGATGTTATGCTATGGCATAGGAGACTATGACATCCAAATAGTTCTGTTCTAATTAAAATGCTAACTGATCTTAAAGTACCTCACTCGTCCAAGATTGATTACACCTTTTGTCAAGCATGCCAATTTGGAAAATTAAAACAGTCTACTTATCCTAGGTCCTCTTCTCAGTCATCTAAACCACTTGATCTGATATATTCAGATCTCTGGGGGCCATCTCCTGTCTCTTCACCTGAGGGATTCAGGTATTACATCCAGTTTTTGGATGATCACAGTTGGTTTACCTGGATCTTTCCCCTGAAAACTAAGTCTGAAACTTATTCTGTCTTCATCCAGTTCCATAAGCTAGTAGAGAGACAATTCAGTTCAACCTTAAAATGTGTTCAAACTGATTGGGGAGGTGAATTTAGGAGTCTTGCACCTTACTTTGCTCAACATGGTATTACTTTTAGACATCCATGTCCTCACACCTACCAACAAAATGGTAGAGTAGAGAGAAAGCATAGACAAATTATTGAGCAAGGTCTAACCTTACTGGCACAAGCTCACATGCCCCTCAAATTCTGGTGGCATGCCCCTCAAATTCTGGTGGCATGCCCCTCAAATTTTGGTGGCATGCCTTTCAAACTGCAGTATACCTAACTAACAGACTGCCCTCTCCAGTGCTCTCTAATTTCTCTCCCTTTCAAAAACTGTTTCATCATCTCCCAAACTATTCTCACATAAAGGTCTTTGGCTATGCTGTTTATCCATTCCTTAGGCCCTATAATCATCACAATTTGATTTTCATACCACTAAATGTACTTTTATTGGTTTTAGTTTGCAACACAAAGGATACAAGTATCTTGCTCCTAGTGGTCGAATTTATATATGTCAAAGTGTTAAATTTGATGAAATGGACTTTCCTTTTTCATCAAATGCACATATTTCCAATACTTCAACTTCTTACTCAAATTCCATACAGTCCTCTTCTGGTTCTGTTTTCAGTCTCCTTGGCATGTTCCCAGTTCTGGTCCTGGTTCTATAGTGCCTGATAATCCCATTAGTCATTCTCAAACCTCTCCTTTTTCAGCATCAATGACTGATCACTCTGGTTCTACTTCACTGGTTGACCAGTCTTCATCTTCTTCTCTTTGTCCTACTGCACAGGATCAGATCTTTAACAAGCATGACTTATCTTTAGTACCTGATAATTCCTTGTCTGCTACTTCTCCTATCACCATTGATTCTGATGCATCTTTTGAAACCATCCCATTGATTGTTGATCTATCATTTCCATCATCCAATATCCCTACCCAAACCCAAAACACTCACCCAATGGTCACTAGGTCCAAAGCTAAAGCTCACAATACTGCCCTTATCTCCACCTCTCACCTTGATACCAAGGAACCAAACACTGTTTCAGAAGCACTCTCTCATCCCTCTTGGACAGCTGCTATGAAATCAGAATTTGAAGCCCTTTTAGCTAACCAAACCTGGGAATTGGTTCCACTAACTCCAGACATGCATCCAGTGGGCTGTAAATGGGTGTTTAAAGTTAAACATAATGCTGATGGGTCTATTCAAAGGTTCAAGGCAAGATTAGTTGCAAAAGGCTTCAACAAACCCCTGGAATTGATTACCTGGAAACTTTCAGTCCGTTGTTAAATCACCCACTGTTAGAGTATTCTTGATCTAGCTGTGAGCCATGAATGGGATATTCAGCAAGTTGATGTTAACAATGCATTCTTAAATGGTGACCTAGCGAAAGTGTAAATATGCTACAACTAGAAGGGTTTGTTGATTCTGCCACCCTCATCATGTATGCAAATTAAAAAGGCACTCTATGGATTGAAACAGGCTCCAAGAGCCTGGTTTGACAAGCTTAGGCAGCTTTTGGATTGGGGTTTGTGAACTCAGTGGCTGATCCAAGTCTTTCATTTTCCATAGTCAAGATCAAGTCATGTATGTCTTAGTATGTGGATGATATACTCTTGACAGGAAACACTCCTCAGCTGATTCAAGAAACTGTCCAGAAACTAACACTCAGTTTGCTTTGAAAGTTCTTGGTTCTTTAAAATACTTTTTGGGTTTGAGGTTACAAGAGATGCATCTGGCCTTATATGAACCAAGAGAAGTATGCCAATGACATTCTCATCAAAACCAAAATGGTGTGATGCAAACCGTTTCTACTACATGGCAGCTGGTTCTAAACTCACCCCTGATGACAGTGAGTCATTGACAATCCTGCTCTTTACGCAGATACCATTGGAGCCCTGCAATACCTTATCCTATCCAGGCCAGACATTGCTTACTCAGTGAACAACTGATCAGTTTCTAAAGGCACCAACGCAGCTTCACTGGCAGGCTTGTAAGAGACTCTTGAGGTATATTAAAGGAACTTCTAACTATGGAGGTATTTTCACCAAAAGTCATATGTTCCAACTGGAATGTTTCACTGATGCTGACTGGGCCAGCAGCTTGCATGACAGAAAGTCCACTAGTGGCGCTGTGTCTTCCTTGGATCCAACTTAATTCAATGGTTTTCCAGAAAACAAAGAGTTGTTGCTCTGTCTTCTACAGAAGCAGAGTATAGAGCTCTTGACAAGGCTCAACTGAGATTGTCTGGTTCAATAGCCTGTTCACTGAGCTTGGACTGCAACTTGTTGGTATTCCTATATTGGTGTGTGACAACCAAAGTGCTGGTTCCTTAGCTTCAAATCCTGTGTTTCATGGAGGACAAAACCATTGAACTTGATGCTCATTTGTAAGAAATCAAGTTAATGAAAACAAACTGAAAGTTTAGTAGTTCCTACTGAATTTCAGAAAGCAGATGTTCTCACTAAGGCATTGCCAGCTTCCAAGTTTGTATCATTTCGAGAAAAGCTTAATGTCAAAGCACTCCATCAGTTTAATACCCTGTGTGAATGTCTGATTACTTGTGTTTCATTTGTGAATTTTTGTGTATTAACAATTCTGGTGTTGGTTGGTGTTTCAGAAGAGTTGCATGATTGGTTGTGTGTGCTTCTTGTGAAAACTTCTGAATGATGAGGTGAAGCTGTTTTACTGAAGGAAGAGTTGCATGATTGGTTGTGTGTGCTTCTTGCTGAAAACTTCTGAATGATGAGTTGAGCTGATTTTACTGAAGGGTCTGAAATGACTTTGCTAAAGTTTTTTTTTGAAAGTAGTTTTGATGATCTGTGAAGTTGGAAGAGTAGTGCAGAATTGAATTGGAGCAGACTTGTCAAGATTCTGATTCAATGTGCATTTTGCTGAAACTTCTGCATGTTGAGTTGAAGAACTTGCAGTTTTTTTTCTCTTTGGGTTGAAGATGACTTGAAGTTTTTTTTTGGAAGTTGTTGTGGAAGTTGTTGTGATAATCTTGAAATTTTAAAGTAGTGCAGAATTGGATTGGAGCAGAATTGTCAGTTAAAAGTATTCAAAAGGAGTTGCTGAAACTTCTGAATGAAAGTTAAAGATGAGTTTTTGAAGGCTACTACGTATGCTGTTTGCAGTATTAATTGTATGCAGTGGTTGTCTGCAGTGGTTGTTCTAAACTCTGGTGAAGCTATCAAACTGTAGTGAAGTCATCAGACTGTAATAATTTTGAAAGTGTTGCAGTGGTTGTTCTAATCTCTGGTGAAGCTATCAGACTGTAGTGAAGCCATCAGACTGTAATAATTTGAAAGGGTTTGCAGTGTTTGTTGAATTTTATTCTGGAGAAGTTATCAGACTTAGGTGAAAGATAAAGTGTGAACATATGGCCAATATGAGGTGTAAAATAACCTTCATGTATCGTAACACGTGGCCAAAATGACATCATGGCTTGAAATCTTATTGGTGAAGTAATCTTTTGGAAGCTTACACATGAAGAGATGACAACCATAACATTTTGATAATCCTTTCAAAAAAATATTAAAATCCTTTGATAAAGAGATGACAGAAAAAAAGTTCAATTAAATCTTTATAACTGTAGGCTATTTTCTTTTCAAAATAATTATCCATTAATAAATCACTTGAATATATGATCGAAGATAGTGAGATAAAACTTGTCACTACAGAAGCTATTATGCTATAATGAAATTCAAAGTTGGGTCACAAATATTTATGCGTTAAATATATATATTTTTTTTAAATTAAGAAGTTTCTATGTAATTATTATGTCCAATCTTCAAAATCTGAATGACATTTTTTTTCCACGAATCCATGACCCACCAACATCAGGGAAAGGGAAAGCAGATAATTTCAATATTTAACGGTCCACTTTGCCAAAAGTGACTTAACACCTTCTTGAAGAAGTTTGAAGGATAGCGACATCTTTCTTTTTGATACATATGTATAATATACTTAAGTGGGAATATCAGACTGAAACAAACAAGACTGCCAAGCCTTTGAAATCCCTTGTAAGTGAGACGGATTCTTACTACATAAATTGTTAGGTTTTTATTCATTATTATTTATTTAATTATTTTTATTTTATGTGTTCCTCTTTTTATGACTGGGGAACCTGAAGAAATTTAGACAATCTACAATCTGGAATACTGATGTTGACTAGTTCAAGACTGTTTATTTCTATTAGGGTCGTAATGGTTGCAAGCCATTATGTTTATTGGTTGGATATATAATTGTTAATAAAAGTAAGAGAAACATTTCTTGAGTTGTTTTTTTTATTTTTTATTTCTTATTATTATTTTCAGAGGTTTTGAGGTTGGAGTATTAGAGGTTTTGGGTTATTCTATTACTTTGTTGGTTTTGCAAAAATTGGGTGTTAATTGGGAGAGTGGTTTTATTTGCAAAGTTCCGTTGTTGATGATTCATTCTAACAGGATTTAAGATTGTTGCTTTATCTTTATGGCTTATATTCCACCACACAAGCGACACTCAAAGGATTTGAACCGTCCAACTCCAACTCCAACTCGAGAGCTGCTTGCTCCACAATTCAAGAGAGATTTGAACTTGAGGGATGTAGACAGTGTTGTGAATATTATCATTCCAAAAACATGCGTATACAGATGGTTCATTGTTGGTTTGGATGATGATGACCAATTTCCTTCATTTATCCACCTTGAGCGGATTTCAGAACCCATTGAGCGGACTCTAGGAGAAAAGTCCCTAGTTTTAGTGAACGATCATGCAGATAAAGGTGGTGTTATGCCCTGTTTAGAATTATCTTAATGTATTATATTTTTTTTTTGAATTTCATTCTAGTGTTTAAAGTAGTAGAATTGATCTTTTTCTCTCTTGTTTGTAGGTAATGATGAAGCGGGAGGGAATATATCAAGACGACCTTGGGGAATCGTTGCTAAAAATGCATGGCCAGATATATTGACTTGTTTTAACAATCTGAGGAACAGAATGGAGCGCAAAAAGCTGGAGAAACTAAAGCCAATATTGGTCGCTAGATTTGGCAAAATTTGTTTTCTTGGGTAAAGATTTGTTTTGCTTTATCGGGTTGAATTTTATATAATGCCTCCTTGATTTCTCTTTCTTTATGAATGTTACATAAGCCAAAATGACTAAGACTGTCACGAGAATCTTACAGAATCTTATGATTAATTAAGAATTAGCAGTTGAATTAGAGGAAAATTATGAGGTAATATTTCTTAAAAAGCCAAAGTAAAGAAAATTAAAACAATGATTTATCACACATGCTATCTCTTGGCCTTTGAATTGGCTGCTTTTTTTTTGTTATGATTTACTATTTCACTCAAACCCTTCGTTTGACTTCCATTATCCTTTGTTAAGACGGAAACACTTTGCAAAAGCACATATCTACTAATAGTTATGTCATGTTTGCAGCTCAATTAGTTTGTAATGTAAAGCAAACATATGTACGTACTAATAGTTGGTGACCAGAAAAAAAAAAAATTGTACTAAGCAGCTATTATAACATTAATCTTTGTGATGCAGGTCCTATTATGTGAACATAGAAAAGGTCAAAAAATATCCAGTCACTGAAACCACTTTGGAACCATTGAGGAGAAGATTTCATACAAATATTCCTACGTCTTATATGGAAAACATTATAAGTGGAGTTGTTCCAAAAATAGGATTTGATTTTGAAGCAGATAAGGATGTATACCAGATCACGGTAATTGTTCTTCTAAACACCTGTCTGTTAAAATCATGTTACTTGTACTTCTGATAATATAGCTGTTGACTTCAATTTCATTGTCTAGGTGACTGACAGCATGCGACCACACTCAATCGTTAATTGCAAATGTAGAGTAAAAGAAGATAAAACGCTTGAGCTCTATAAGGCAAGTTTTCTGTTACATGCTTATATATGTGGTTAATATATCAGATTTTGCATGAATGTTGCCATTATTTTAACCTATTATAAAAATAAATCAGTGTTGTGTAAATAGGATGATGGAGGTCGATACTTCAATTTGATAATCATGATTCTTAAACATTCAGAGTTAGCTGCTTTAGAAAAGTCAATGAAACAAGGCTTTTGCTAAAGTTAATTATACCAGGAATTGTAGAGGTAAAAAAAGCTGTCAGCGGCACCTATATCTATGTTATTGAATAAAAAGAAATTGGATTGAACTGAGTTTGTGAGATGAATTTTGTTGTAAAAAGTGATGGAACTACTATAATAGAAGCAAGAAAAGTTGAAGAAACAGGATAAGGATAGAAATTTTTAGAATCTGATTAAGACCATTTTAGAAGTCTTCCCATAAACATTTAAATGGAATTCACCATTAAAAGAAGAAGAAAAAGGAAATACTTTTCAACTCTTTTGAATTGTTTGTAAAGGGCTTGCTTATACAAGAGTAAGAAGTCCTGATATAAACCAAACAAGTAAAGTTGACGTAACCCTTAGATAAGTATCTAATAAACCCAAGTATATATATAGTTACAGGTGTACTGATCTACAGGTGTACTGATCCTGAGTGTTAAATTGCAAAAAATATTGCTGATTATGAACCAACTTGAATATGCCCTTCTCGAAGAGTGCCTTTTGCTTCATGGGATTTGGATCTGGGTGATATATCGGGGACATAAAGAAATATTAAGTATCTCATTGGATTCATTTGTTTATTTATATTTTGAATTGCCAGAATTTTATATTCACTTTAAATTTATCTTTATTTTGTATGTAGAGCCTCATGCTCAATTGGAGATATTTTTCTTGTAGGTTGAAACAAACCATACTCGTCGAATGGCCATATACACATCATGCGTGGATAAGAATTTAGACCTGAGGCTGACGCTATGGACGAAGAGTATTGGCACTGACTTAACTGTAAGTTAATGTGCAACCCTACCCATTAGATGCTTTAGGTAGAATAATATAGCATAACTTTGTTTCTATTTTCTGTCTCTCTTTTAATCATGTTAATTTTATCGTTGTTGTTACTAATCAGAATATTTATTCATTTCAAACAAAGAAAAAAACAACTTTAAAGCAGTAGAAGGAAATCTTCATTCTCTAACTTGATTTTATGTGGACAAAGTCCATTTTCTAAGGGATGAAGAAAGAAGAAATACAAGACAATGCTCAAAGAGTTAAACATACAGTTAAATATTTAATACCTTTTTACTGAGGATTACAATCTATGAGAGTTTCTCTGCAGACATCATGAGGCGTAACAAGTGACTGAAGTAAAAAACAAAATCATCAGAGTCAAAGTTTTAATTGCCAAGTTGTAGAATAAAAATTGTAATGCTTTTGCTTTGCACAATGAGGTTCCTTTTTGATATATATATATATATATATATAATATATATATATTTTGGTGGAGTAGGTCTTTTGAGAAGAGTAATTATGGAAAACCAAAGGAACAGTAGTTAACATGTATCTATTGAATGTTTTAGTTTATAGAGTTATCCTTGAGAATGATATCTATGATCAAACTGATTATTTGCGTTCTTCCAGGATGAAGAAATTCAAAGCCTTAGAAATCTGATTAGTTCAGCTGTTTAGATCCAGGAGTGAAGGGTGGTTTGAGATGGCACCTAGGGAAGTCAAACTCGGGGGCATACCATGTTAAAAAGGTTTGGCACACAATAGATAAGTTGTATGAAAACTCATCACTGAGGCTCAAGGTAAGACATGCTGACGATTTTCTTTTGAGTCTTCTAACGGGGAGTCTTCAATTGAGATTACTCTGAAGTTTAAGCGATTAGTTCAGACATCTGGTAATGTTATTATTGCATTCAACTTGTCACTTGATTCCTTTTCACGTGGGACTTAATAAATGTTGATATTATTGCTATTCAGAAATTTATCATTGAAGCTATTGTTTCCCAATCTTATTCTAATTTCACCGTTGAGTTGCAAAACAATTTCAAGATAGAGAATTTCAATGAAATGCAAAAAAAATTCCAAAAATTTTATGAACATTTCATCATAGAAGATTAAATGAAAATATTTTGAGTTTAACTGTGTTTAAGTTTAATGATTTTTTTGCAATGAATCATATGAGCAATTACTTCTGTGTTTTTTTTTTTTTTTTTCCCAACATATTTCTGCATTTATTATTATCTTATTTGTTCGGGACACAGACGATCTTGCATGGGTTTATTGTTTCTTTTTTCCCAATTTCCAGGAACAGAAGTATACTACGTATAATATGTTTGAGGACACCTTAGGGTTGATATGGGATCATTTTCTGTTTTGTGAGCAGTTCTTGACATAAGCAACTCGTGCCAAGCTTTACCTACTGTGAAAATGATAATACGTTCATGTCTTGATGGGAGTAGCTCATGTCCATTTCCAATGATGGAAACATTTCTTGTAAATATTGTTACAAAATATTTTTAATGCTTCTTTCTTTCTTTCTTTTTTAATCCCTGTATGAGCTTAATATGGTACAAGTTTGGCGTTTCAACAATGGTATGCTTGGTAAATCATGGATAGATTATGTATAGTTGTGCTAAAGACACATGCTGATTAAGAAAAATTGCTGATGCGGCTGCTGGAAATCTTTAAAACAAAGAAAAATATGACTGCACCAGTTGCATAAAAAAATATAGCCTTCTTTTTCTCTGCAAAATCTGGAGTTGAAAGGTCTCTCTTAATTCCCGTTAACTAACAGAGTTGACTGATGACTTTGAAGAAGTTGGTCAAAAATATTCAGGAAGGATCCTATTTGTTTTAAATTAAGAATTTTCTATGTTATTAATATGTACAATCTTCGAAATCTGAATGAAATTTTTTTTTCCACAAATCCATTACCCACCAAGAGCAGCGAAAGGGAAAAGCAAAAGGTCATTTCGTTCTTTAATGGTTCGCTTTACCAAAAGTAACTTAAACACCTTCTTGAAGAAGTTTGCAGGATAGTACAACCATGTAATAGTGGATATTACAATACAGTTTTATGATTTCCATTTACAAGTTTCACATTGATGTATTGTTACAACGTTGTACTATAGCAAAACCCATTTGTATAATGTTGTAAAGCACTGCGTCTGAAAAGTTGATACAAAGAGAAAGTAGTTTTTCTCAATAATTGTTTATCTTTATCTAATGTTTGGGATTAGTTTTATTCACCCCTGAGAGACAGCTAAATCCGAAGCGCCCCAACAATTTTGAAAAGTATTAGATACCTCCCTGAAATAGTAAAATTGTGGGAAGCCTCCTAAAAATATCACAAAACTCTTGTGAACATATCAAAAACCTCATGTCAATATATATATATATACGCACAACTAAAATTTCTCTATAGTCATAATGGTGGGATTAACTAATTTATTACTATAAGAAGATTATAACTTAATAGAGGTGTAGTTATAAAAATTATTATATATATATACGCACAACTAAAATTTCTCTATAGTCATAATGGTGGGATTAACTAATTTATTACTATAAGAAGATTATAACTTAATAGAGGTGTAGTTATAAAAATTATTGTTTTGATTTTTTATTTTATAATTCACGTTTTAGTAGTATGTGTTAGGATTTCAATTCATTATTTTAATAGTCATTGCTGCAATTAAACAAGAAGAGACAGAAAATAATTATGAGGATAATAGTTCGGAAATACAAAAAGTTTTATGCCAAAAAGCTCTAAGCATGCTTGAAAAGTTAGAAATATTTTGGTTTCAACAAGAAGATGTCTATGCTAACGTGTTATTATATACTTGCAAGTTAAAAGATGTGGAACAACTCTAAAGCATAAATCATTGTCT